CGATCGCATATTAATATCGCATAATTTATTTGATTGTGAGACTGTATGTCCCACGCCAGATATGTGTATAGTGGACTGTATAATCGATACGTTTAAAAATTCGCATAGCTTTGATGATACAAAACAATTATGACTACCACTGTCTAACAACGCTCGGGCTGTGTGATATTTGTTGTTATTATCCATTACCTCAACAAGAGCAGTGGACAATAACACTTGTGACAGTGATATGGAAGGTTCCTTGTCATTTGATGACTGAGCATGATTTATAAAGTTCATTGCGTGTGATACTACTGAGACCTGCCCTTTATCAGCTGACTGTGAATTATGCGCACTGGTCACTGGTGAAACAGGCGTAGACGCAATGTAGACACTTTCATTATGTAATAAACTATTATGATTTTTCTGACATTGCTTGCACGGACCGAAATTACACTCTAAAACCGAATGTCCCGAACGTAAACAATTACAACATAATTTTTTCTCATTAATAAATTTAATTCTCTCTTGAACTGGTAAGTTAAGAAATTTAATACAAGCGTATAACGAATGCATATTACCGCACAACGCACATTGACGCATCGGCCTGTCGGATGTACTGTATTTACGCGTAGACACGAAACTATGCGATTGCTGAACTTGTGGTATGACATTTGTCTGCCGTCTACTAATATTATTATTATTATCGAATGACTTATTAGAATTAGACAAATGACTTTGTGGTTTGCGTGAATTGCTGTTATGAACCATGTCCAACATGTCGGCACGATTTCGTAAAAAATTTAATAAATCCTCTAATTTTATTTTACCCTTTTGCGAATTAGAAAATAAGGTACCTTTATGGTTTTCCCATTCTCGTTCTGTGGAGGTATCTAATTTAGACACCATTATATAAATGATTAATGTATCCCACGAGTCTGTCGGTTCGTCTAGTGATTTAAGAGCCCGAAGGTTACGTAACACAACATCGATTAACTTTCTAATTTGCATTGGTGACTCTTTATTAATAGACTGTGCAGTAAATAAAGATTTAACGTGATTGTGGATCAATAAACGGTTACTATGATACCTACTCTCTAATAATTCCCATGCGTGGGTATAATTAACAGCGGTGAATTCCAATGCACTAATAACTTCAAGTGCAGAACCCCTGAGCGAGGATTTCAAATAATGAAATTTTTGAATCGCATCTAAATCACTACGTTTGTGAATCATAGATAAATAAGAATGTTTGTACTCGAGCCAATGGTCGTAAGAACCGTCAAATACGGCTAGCCTGATCTCAGGCAGCTTAACTGAGACTGAATTATTACTAATGGACGCGTGTGAACATTTAGAACTCTCACTTTTGTCTGTGTCCACTTTAATAAAACACTTAGCAGCAGACATCATATCAAAATATAAATTTTCAAAGTATTCTCTGTATTCCAATTGTTTAGGTAATTCTGAACTGCTACATAATTGTTCGATTTGCTCTTGTATTTCATTAAAAGAATTGAATAAATTTGACACTGATTCTATACGCAATAGTAGTTCTGCTTGTTGTTTTTCAGACAAAGTAACATTACTTAATTTATTAAGGTACTTCTCAAATAAAGTTAATCGTCCCTTTAAAGTACCTCGCTGTTTTTTAAGCTCACTTAAACTAGACGAATTGTCTGATTCAGCTTCAGTAAAATAGTCCTCGTTACTCATTTTAGCGAATTATTAGAAGTTAGAAAATTACTTACGGTTTTTTACGAGCAGGTAGATATGTAGGTAGAACGAAAAATGAACAAATTTAATAAACTCGTATTAAAGCACAGTACGATAATAGCACAAATGAAAATAAAGATGGGAGAAAAAGGAACGACCAACCTGACAGGTATTTCAGCTGATCCAGGATACGCAGATGAGGCTCGAAGTTGACCATATATTTGGGCATGTGTGTGTTGGTTTGCCCTTGCCTTGGGTAGTTCGAATTTAAGTTTACTGGATTGGCAGTAAATAACGAATTGTTGTTGTAATTATGATTTTAATATTGAAACTATATAAATTTACAATATTTGGAATGTATATATACTCGTATATATGAAAATGAAGAGGTAACGGTATATGAAAGGCAATTCAATTGTAACGAATGACGTGAATGTGGCTGCTGATTAATGGGTCGTCGCAATTTGCTTCACACTTCACGCTCCTTTCAGCAACCATAGATTATGCAGTAACATATATATATATATATATATATATATATATATATATATATATATATATATATATATATATATATATATATATATATATATATTACATGGATTTTACAAGTGTTATAAACATAGAAAATACAACCGAATTGAATAGGATCTCAAGATAAAGAAGAAAAGCTTCTTCTTGGAGTCGATTGAAAAGTTATCTGCCTTAATACACAAGATTAATATCTAAGATAGTCCATCTGTATATGAAATTGCGTTGAAATTTGTTCAGCTGTTTAATACTTTTGCAATTTTTTTATACAACTTAGAATGGCAAACAAGCTGACGGCCCACCTGATGGAAAGTGGTAACCGTCGCCTATAGACATGAGCAGTACCATGGACATAACAGAATATACTGTTTCACCCATGATACTCCCCATGCTTTGCCATTCCTGAGGACTCAGGTGTTATTCGTCTGTACCCTGTAAATTCACCCAAGCAAAAGACTTTTGTATAAAGTCTTCCTGTGGCAATAACTTTCATATTCTTTTAAAATAAGTGCAAAAAGAATATTAACTCAGCCTGTGCTGTCGATGTATACTGCTGTGTTACTGGTACGGAATGATAAGTGAGGATAGAAACAAGTCAGTGACGAATTTGAAGTGAAATAACTACAATGGTTGCCAGGGGTAATCGCGTGGAGGTCGACCCGATAGGGTGTATTACTAGCAATGAAGCAATAGGTTAGATCCCATTACTAACAATCCTAATAAAAACAAGTAAAAAACAATGGATGGATGTTTGTTATATATGTATATATACATAATGTATAAGAATTCAACAATTGAATATGCTGTTGTCGTTCTTAGGTGCATCAGTATTTCAAGCCATTGAGGGTCCACTCGAAAGGGAGCTGGAGGAACATCTGGCCGCGCTGAAGACTGACTTCTTGAGGGACCACCCTTGCGTCACAGGTCAGGACATACAAACCCATTCTTTTATATAGTTTCAAATAAAAATCTCTTTGGCTTAATTGTCATAATTATACTAATATTATGAAGAAGAACGATTTCCTTTTTATATTTGTTTGTTTATATATAATGGATAAACCCAAAAACTATTCAACTGATTTTAAAATTTCTTTCATTTGTACAATATAATACAGAGAATAAAACATGTACCTATGTATGTATGTTTTAATAAAATTAATGCAGTCTGATTTAACTTTATGAAAATGTAAACAAATGTAAACAAGAATCAAAATAAATCTGCTGATATCCAATAATCATCATCATCATTTTAGCCTTTAACTGTCAACTGTAGTTGCCACGCTTGGCAGGCGGATTGGCAGCCGCAGTTAGGCTTTGGAGATGTTTTAACTGGGAGGTTGCTGTCTATCTCTCGCCGACCTTTAGTCGCCTCTTACGACACCCACGGGAGAGGAAGGGGTGGCCTATTTTATGCCGAGACCATGGTCGATAGCCAATAATAATAAAAATAAAAAGTAGATCAATCGATTGGAGTCGAGAAAACTCGACTAATTTTGGGACCATTTGAGACCCTTAATCTTGAGCAGCTGTAATGCGAGCGCGAGCCTGACTGTCGAGCTTTTTCGACCAAATTACACGTAAATTAAAATATAACGTGTACTTACTAAATTTTTATATCGATTTTAAATCGAATAAAATCGATTGAATATTTCGATTCCATTACTTTTTACTGATGGATGATAGATGAAGTAGGTCAGTTAGCCTATCGTGACGAATTCAACAAAAATTGTTCACGATGGTTTCCAGGGGGAACCACATGGAGGTCGACCTGATAGGGCATATTGCTAGCAATGTCGAACTCCATTGCTAACAATCCCTTTCCCCCCTGCGCAGGCGGGGTTACCATTCTATTACATCTATTAAAAAAATAAAAATAAACAGACATAGATACATACATGTCGTATGTAAACTATATCTCGAGATTAGGTACTTGTGAAAATTACGTTAATTAAGTACTGATTGGCAAGCAAATAATAATTAGAAATTTAATAATGAACAAATCTTACAATTACGATTATTAATACGTGTAATAATGTAAACTTTACACGTTAATTAGATTTTTGTTTTTTTTTTTCCTAATTTGGTACACTTAGTCAAAGTAAAGTGTCCGTCCCATCCTCATTATTTGATACGGGAAACTGGACACTCAAAGGTATTATATTGTCTGTGCCCGAAATGAAAGGGGAAAAAAGTAAAATTACGGTATACATGTTTTTTTTTTAATTTTATTTATTTATTTTTTATGCAATTCCACCTGACGTATACCTAATGATAGTCTAAGGCAAGTACGAATGGATTTTATTTATTTATTTACATATGTATATTACATTTATATGATCTGAGGTGATTACGATTGATTATTATTATTACTTTAATATATTTAAGGTTAAGTATTTACATACATGTTCGTTAGAGATTGAATAAATTTCTTTAGTATTTGTTTAAAAAATATGCTGGTTCTTGTTGTATAAATAAATAAATAATAATAAATAAAAATTAATTGTTAGTAAAAATGCCGTCTGTTGACTTGATGTAAAATATATATTTTTTGTTCTATTTCAATTGTTTATCAATTTTCCTTTTTATAAAAATCTATAATTGTCAAGGTGTGTAAAAAGGTCAATTTTGAATTGTATTTATAAGTAAAGAAGCGAGCTACAGTAAAGGTTTATAACCGATTAAGTAATCGAAACATTGCTCGACCACGTATCGATGGTAGTTATCAAATATTTATTTGTTGTATAGATAAAATATCGGTGTCTTTGACAGAACGACAGCCAGCTAGCCAGTCGGGTAACGGTCGCGGCGCGGTACACGCCGGGTCACCTTCCACTCTCGCGCACTTATCGGGCTTTCGCCATATTAGATTTCTATTACAAACCAGTTTCATTAAAATGTATCAAAATGGTGATTCTTAAGCTCGAAAAATGCCGTCGCGAAACTAAGGTCACAGAGTTCAGTATGTTCGTTGAACCTAACCACCCCAAGAGGTTTTTCAAGTACAGTTGACCAATAACTCGCCCGTTCCGGGATTTTCGGTTTGTGTTCTGGAACTGTTAACCCTTCAAGCCGACTAGGAAAGTGATCGTTCCCGCGCGTTGTGAGTTTCTAATTTTGAATTTCGAACATTAACCATAGATTTTGGCAGTTGACGTTTTGAAATTTCCGAATCATGGAGAAGCAAAAGTACATACGCATACAGTCTTATGGCAGTATGAGTTCAGCGAGAAGTAGTGACGATATGACTGTGCACAGCCAGTTGTTCCCTTATCCGAAGAAAATGGTTGTTGAGAGAGAAATTTTGTACGAGGAAAAGCATCCACCGTTTCAACCGCTGTTCGCGACGACAAGATTATTCGGCAAATCTAGATTTACGCTACTACTGGTCTCCTATATAATATTTTACTTCACATATTTGATATCTGGAGCATTTGTATTCTCGGCTTTGGAAGCACCCTTGGAGAATCAAATAAGATTGGACGTGATTAGAGCTAAACAAGACTTCATGGCGAAACATCCTAATGTTACTGGTAATTTTTTTTTATCTTCTTTTGTATATATAGTTTCTACTAAGTATATAAACAAATATTGTTTAGATCAACAAAATGTATAGACGGTACGCACAAAAATTATGATTCCACAGAATTATGTTAAAAGAAACATTCGCTTCGCTTATGTTAGCGTTGTATCATAATTAAAGATTGTGTCCAAAAAAAAACCGACCTCAATTGTGACAATACCGGTTATTTTGATCAAAAAACTAAACTACAGAACCGTTTTTGATAAATTTTTTATTGGACCGAACTGTGAGTACACCTTTGTAGATAAAAAGAATAAATTTCCAAATTGGTTTAGAACTGACGAAGTTATAATACCCTTTAAAAATATAACTCAAATGAAAACCTCCATCTTTTTGAAGTTGGTTGAAAAATTTGTTTGAAAGAATGCTTAGATGTTTGAGAATCAATCATATGTAAACGGCAGAATGGATTTTATTTAAATTTGCTACACCAGTAGATTTTGAAATTTAGCTTTGCTTGACAAAATATTTTTTTACGAAAAGTATCGCCTACAGTTAATTTTGAAACTACCTAAAATTAATAACAAACATTGTAAAACAATTCAATGTAGGTAGTTATTTTGGGTTTAGTATTTCATAATCTCAATATGAACTTATTGACGTTGATAAATATTGTCTTGGCATAATTAAATCAAATGGGATATTTGATCTATTGTAGTCAACTCTATTGTATTTGTTGTTATTTTATTTATTTATGTACATATATTGTAAAAAATATAACTAGAAATTGATTTAGCGATATGACTGCCTTTTGTACTTCATATGTGTAATACATATATACATATAATACATATATATATACATATATATACATATATATATATATATATATATATATATATATCTTGCCGTCAGCTTGCTTACCATTCTAAGTTGTATAAAAAAAATATCTATTTGTCAAAACATCACCATTTGGATATATGTGATCTAATTTATATAAATTCTTGCACACATTCTTAGTAAACAAATTAGATTAAATCTCTAATGTATGCTATATCATTTGTTAAACACCGTATCATTGACATAGTTATTAAACATTTTATAGAAAACAAAGTTCAGACTGTTTAATTAGTACAATTGCATCTCATAATATAGTAAGTAATGTTATTTAATAACTGATAAAATTATCTGTTTACTAAACACTTAGTTAAATAAATATATAATACAGAGGGTATCTAAATAAATGCCTAATTAGGCATTTAATTAGTTATAGACTGAAAATAAAGTATTTAACAGTGCGTTAAACTAAAATCTACCTATGTTACGTGCTTAGAATAGAATAGAAATAATTTTTATTCATATACACTTGTTTACAAGCTATTTTCAATTGTAAATTTTTTATGATTGTACTGCTGAGTTAGGGATGTTTTTTTTTTATACGACTTAGAATGGCAAACAAGCTGACGGCCCACCTGATGGAAAGTGGTAACCGTCGCCTATAGACATGAGCAGTACCATGGACATAACTGAGTATACCGTTTCGCCCATGATACCTCCCATGCGTTGCCATTCCTGAGGACTCAGGTGTTAGTAGTAGGTAGTAGTTAGTAGTAGACTGCTCACTTTGAGAATAAATTATTTTTTCGCCTCCATTTTTTCACCTGCTTAAAAACCACTATTACTTCAAGATCAACAAATCACCCCCCAAGCCTCTACACAACGCCCCCAATTTTTTTTCTGGGCCTCTTGTGGGCGCTGCAGGCCTAAAGAGCCATCGTATACCGCTAACATACTCGTATACCGTTAGCGCAGGCGGGGCTACTATTTCATTATCATCCATTGAAAAACAAAACACTGCTGATGTACAAATCAATAATTTTTTTTTATCACTGAGGTGGCAAACAAGCATACGGCCCACCTGATGGTAAGCGGTTACCGTAGCTTATGAACACCTGCAATACCAGAGGTATTACGCGCGCGTTGCCGACCCTGAAGAAACCTCTTTACCCCCCTTTTGAAGAACCCCATGCTGTAGTTTCTTGGGAAAATCTCGGCGGAAAATTTTTATGATATTTTAAATTGTTGTTTATTTGTTTAATGTAAATCGAAATTATTGCATGACAAATATATTTAAAAACAAACAATTATATGTAAAACAATTAAATATAATGTGACAATTAAATTCTCATTAACGCCTGAATATTAGCTAATTGTCAATATAATTTTGCTGCACCCAAACAGGGTTTCATTTACTTACTCATCATAAGAGCATTGTAACAAAATGATTTATGTATGTACATGAAATAATTGTATGAACTAATTGTATGTATTATAATAATCTACACTAATTTGAGGAAAGATTTGTATTTTTGTGTATATGTATGTTTGTAATGAATAAACTCAAAAACTCCTTTGCCGATTTCAAAAATTCTTTCACCATTAGAAAGCTACATTCACCCTGAGTAACATAGACTATTATATATATTTATTGCTAAAAAAGATTAGGGATCCATACTAAAACTTTAATAACGTAATTCAAGGTGTAAAAAAATGTTATAAAATATCTTTCGTCGCGTGCGCTGCGGAAACTTTTGGTGATAGAACAAAATTGTGTTCTACAATATTGAAGGAAATATCAATAACTACAAAAAACTTCCCGATACTATGTGTCCAACTATTATCGTTATGTCACAATAACCACTTTTTAAAATGTAAAAATGTCCACCCGTAAGAAGCCTTGACGTGCCGCTAGTAAATAAATAAACTAGTAAATACACATAATTTACTGTATATATGATAACACTAGTTCTCTGATAACAATTTATCGGGCACTTGTACAATCGTTGGACTAATTATCAATTGAATTTAAAGTCTTCTTTTTTTTTATACAACTTGGAATGGCAATCAAGCTGACGGCCCACCTGATGTAAAGTGGTAACTGTCGCCTATAGACATGAGCAGTACCATGGACATAACAGAGTATACCGTTTCGCCCATAATACCCCCCATGCGTTGCCATTCCTCAGGACTCAGGTGTTATTCCTCTGTACCCTGTAAATTTAGTCCATTACCCTAATGTTGTCTTGAAAAGATTGCACTCAGCAATAAGACCGCCTCACTGTACTTATACAATTGTATCGTTGTGTTTGTAAATTGTCTTGCTTATTTCCTATATTGTACAATGCAAATAAAGTTAAAAATTCATTCATTCATTCAATTGATAAGTGGCCTATATTCTTTTTCATCTCAAATACTAGGTGCAGGTAACTATACCTATTTTAATTATCATTAATTAAGACGTTAAAACACTAAGAAGGAAGAAACAAATAGACATCAGTTTAATTTTAACACCTATAATAATTATTATTATTTCAGCCGTTAACTGTCCACTGCTGAACATAAGCCTTCCCCATAAGGGGAGTTTTGCCAGCAGTTGCCACGCATGGCGAGCAACATGTAAAAAAATAAACACATCTAGGAGATATTTACTGCACGCATAAATTTTGTACTCACCATTTATATTCCTGTGAGTACATAGTTCTATGAAAATGCTTTCATGTTATATCAACATTGGTGCTTTATTTAAGGCACGTTCTAACGCGAATATCATAGCACTTTGTGTGTTTACAATCACTTTATCGCCCTAACCCTTGCTAACCTCGAGATGAGCTCTCAATTCCCTACGTTTGGATACTTGAGGCGCATCATTTGTTCTTGACTTTGGTCGTATGGGCGTAACTTTGTCTTTTCTCTCCCGCTACCCGCTGAGATTGTAGTTTAAGGATCGAATTTTAATACACTTTAGTTAAATTTTTACTATGGTCCTAATCTGGGAATAATGTTTTAAAATGGCCTTTTAAGGAATGTAACGCCTTAATCATAACATAATATGATCAGAATCTGATGAGAATTAAAGTGATTGCGGAGTCACTTGAAAAGGAACTTATATCTTTCTCCAACCCACATAGAACCTTTTTTTTTATACATTTTAGAATGGCAAACAAGCTGACGGCTCACCTGATGGAAACTGGTAACCGTCGCCTATAGACATGAGCAGTACCATGGACATAATAGGGTATACTGTTTCGCCCATGATACCCACCACGCGTAGCAATTCCTGAGGACTCAGGTGTTATTCCTCTGTACCCAGTAAATTCACGCCATATTTCACCCTTCAAACCGAAACACCTCCGTGTATACTAAATTTCATAGTGATTGGCTAAGCCGTCAAACAAACAAACTCACTTTCACATTTATAATATTTAATAAGGATTAATAAGGATGCCACAAACAAATGATTTGACAGTTAATTATCCTTTGAAACTATTACCGATCACGTACGAGCGCATATCGAGGGATCCCGCGGGCAAACTTGTGTCCATACATCAAACGGGATGTGACAAGGGATCGCTTTGTCTTCAACATTCAAATAAATTTACACATGAGCAATCAGAAGCAGCAAATAGACATAGAAGATGGATATTTGATGTTTCTGTTTGCTACGATTCATATAAAATGATGTACAGCATTTATTAAATAAGCAAAAACTTGGATTGGTCGCCTGGTAGCGACTGCTTTCAACCTAATAATTATTGTAGTGAATTATTTATATTGTATGTTTAATTAATTAATGAAATATATTATTTATGTATCATTTATGTAAGTATGTATCTATATAATACAATTTTATCTTTGGCTGTTATATTGGTTACACAGGTTACACTCTGGGTTTGTTGTACGCGTTCGTGTAGCCTAACTTCAGGCTGCTTATAGGGGGGAAAGGGATCGTTAGCAATGGAGTTTGACAACCCCATTGCTAGCAATATGCCCTATTAGGTCGACCTCCATGTGATTCCCCCTGGAAACCATCGTGAACAATTCTTGTTGAATTCGTCACGATGGGCCAACTGACGTGCTTCATCCTCACTTATCATCCTTCACTGGTGCCCCGTCGGTGTATACCGAAAGCGCGGGTGGGGTTGCCATTCTATTGTCATCTATTAAAAAAAA